TGTTCCGGGGCTGTTTCCACCGTATTCAGGATTAATATGTTGTTTTGTAAAATTCGTATAAAATATATGGATAATCAAAATGATGTGGGTGGATTCATATATCAAAGGTAATATTGATTCTTATTAATTTAATATATAAATGTGATCAACGACTCATTTAGCTAACTTCAATAATTTTAAAAAAAATTATCGTTATCGCGCAACGCGCGATATCAAACACTAGTTTGATTAATAGCAGAATAATTCAAAAGTATCTGCTAAACTTGAGATTAATAGCTTGATGAAGCTTCTAATTCAATTGGAGTATGATGGGGAAATCAAGGGTTCAGACTACGCAAACAAGTTGAGGGCACTCGATATGGCTGTGGATGATTCTTTTCTGTTGTACATGCTTTTGAACAAGTTGCTTAACGAGTACGACAATCTCAAACAAGGATGTACGCGGGTTGGGTTGGGCAGTTTACGACATTTATACAACACAACCCAATTATGACGGTTTTAGAAAAATCTCAATCCAATCCAACTCATTCATAAGTATAACCCAACCCAACCCTCCCTTGCGGGTTTTGGCGGGTTAGTAAGTACATAAATTTGATGAGTGAAATACTTTATAGAACTTAAGTTTACATGACCAAATTGTAAAATGTCATATATAAAAGTGTCACAATAGGTTTATAGGATGTTTTTGGATGCTTCAACAAGTTTTTTAGAACGTTCTTTACATAAATTGTCATAATAGCTATTTTATAGAACAATTTTGAGATCTTTCCTATAAACTCGTCTATTTATAGAGCACTTGTGTTCATATGAAATTTTTGTTTTTCAAATACTGTCATATAAAAAATAATTAATATGACACTTTATCTTAAAAGTGTCATAAAAGTTTGTTAATATACCCAAAAACGTTCTATAAACATATTGCAACACTTTTTGACAAACATTTTTTTGTTTCATCCTATAAACTTAAGTCTACAAAGCATCATATCAGGACGCTTAGATATTTTAGGCATCCTATAAACCTAATGTTGTTGTAGTGAAATGCTATAACTATTAGCATTTTACTTCCACCAAAGTACAACATTAAACCATGGAGTCTTTGGATTCATTTGTCAACCAAGTATCTATCAACATCATTCATATTCTCCGACACATCCATTTGTTGTTGTTGCAAAAACAATTCCAATGACTTTCTCCATCTTTTGATTAGTGTAATGATGAAGCCTCTTCCAAGAGCATTCCTCTCTTTAAGTATTTTTATCTTGTCTTAATTAAATTTTTGCCCATCTAATTTCTATGCAACTCTAATTTATGCTTTTACATTATCATAAAATTTTAATCTATGTCTTATTTTTAAACCATTCCCTCACATCTTTATATATTATGTCGAGCTTAAATTCATTAATATAATTTTCATTTACGTTCTAAGATTTTAGCCATGGTAATTTTTTTTACTTTCTCGTACTTTTTTTTACCAAACACGATTCACCTCTTAATGAAACTATTAAGAGGTCAACAAACAACTCCTAAGTAGTAAGTACACTAGCTGACTTTTGCATAATAAGGATTGTTTACAAAGCTGATGAAAAAGAGAACTTTTTGAAGATTTGTAAAAAAGGTTCTCTTCGATTTACAAAAAAAAAAACAAAAGCTATACAATCCTTGTTCAAATGCCACTATCATCCTCTAGAAAGTACAAGTCGACTCAAATTACGTGTGGTAGTATTCGAGTTACTGGTACAGTTTCCTAAGAAGTCAAGAAAGGGTTCAAACCTTGTGAAAAATGTGCATGATTATTTGCTATATATAAATATTAGAGTAAATTACATGTTGCGCCCTTGTGGTCATATGTTTTTAACATTCTTTATCCCTTTCTTCGCCCTTGTGTTGCATTTTTACGAGTTGCGTCCTTAATGCAACTACAGGGATTTATTTAGGAACGAAACTCATTAAAAACTGCAACCATTACACTTTGAAGTAACTAAATGACATTTTTACCGTTAATAATAAAAAGATAATATAGATGGATATCCAAAGGTCTATGTTAGATGTGGCTAAGAAAATTGGCAAGGGATTTAAAATTCATAATAAGGCTGGAATTGAAATCGCTTACGGCCTTGTTCAATGTGATCGCATGAGCACACAGTTTCGCCCATAACCAGATAGGACCAATAAACAGCCAAAAAGGATTTGGTTTGGTTTGGTTTGGTTCGAGTGGTTTTCAGGATCTAGAACTTTTCTGAACACCCCTAGTAGATATGGATATGATGGGATAGCATCTGTTTAAAACACTATTCAATATGTTCTTGATTATACACCCTCCTCCATTCTGGGTTCTATTTCTGTTTTTGTGAATAACTTGCAATAAAACACAAAAAAAGATTATCACAAAATCAAACAGCCAAAGACCACACACTGATGAAAACTTTAGGGGCCGTTTACCAAACGCTTACCCGGTAAGCGCTTACCAAGTCACATTACCTTATCGGATGAATATGGTAAGGACCAAGAATCTTACCCGGTAAGAGGGAGACAATGACCGAGAGTCTTACCCATTGAGGGCGACAACTCTTACCATGGTAAGCGCTTACTCTATAAATTGTTGCATATGATGCCGTTTTGGTGGACTAAAATAAAAGTCTTACCCGGTAAGTAAGTGGTAGTGTTAAATTCTAGCGGTAAATGCTTACCGGGTAAGTGTTTGGTAAACGGCCCCTTAGTCTCTTGCTGATTGAAGTTTCAAAAACAAAATAAACGGAAGTCTTAGCTTCCTATCATCATCAAATAAATGGAAATCTTTTCACTACAACACACAGTCAATAATTTGACTGAGAAAAACCAAAAACTAAACATACTTGATAGGAGGTGTTTTCTGGGAAGGCATGAGAAAGAAACCATTGACATATAGTTTCTGCAGAAATAGATAGAATCACATTACTTTGATCGTCTTGGCGACTCCGCCAAGATGAAGCTAGGAAAGTCGTCCCAATCCTTCATGTATGACAGCCTCGGAGAATTCGGGCTCCCACAAATTGGGGAACTTTGTCCACGGTATTGACGAGGTTGATCTTCTATTGTCGGCACAGGGATCTCCTCCATCCCAAAAAGCATGATGGCATCTTCATCCTGGATTTATACATAAATAAGTTTGTCACTCTCAATAACACAGATTACTAAAAAAAAAGATGGGATTCTGGATATCGTATCAGCAAGCTTACCTCTGAACTTTTTGGTAAAGGATTGCATGCAGACACAGATTGACCAGAAACATCTATGATTGAATAAGAGAAATGGTTAAGTTAAATTCAATCAAATGAGTAAAAAGATATGAACAATTAGATAAAACTGATTGAAGAATATGTTGTTACCTTCATCTAACCCAATGGTTTTTAAAAAGTGATGCAAATCCATTGCTCTCTTCTGTGATTTGATACATTCTTCATGATTGTGAAGGAAGCGTTCTTCTGCAATGGAGTAAGGAAGGTTTTCATCTTCATCTTCAGCAACAACTATTGATTTCTTTTCCGGACCCTTTTTCTTTAAACCCTGCGGCTGACCAAATGGTTTCACCGAGTTCGTAAGGTCACCCAGTGCTTTCCTGCCACTAACTTGAGCTTTCTTGCCACTAATTTGTGCTTTTCCCACAACAGGAATCTGTGCCTTCTTGGAGACACCAAGATCTTCCCCAATTGGGATCACATTCTTCGAGTTTGATATATCATTAAGTGCTTTTCTTCCTCTAAGACCCCCTTTATTCTTTTGAACAGTAGACCCATTGGTCTTAACTCCTAAAAGGAACAATGGTTAAAGGATGAACCTCAAAGAAGAGATGCAACATACCATCACGAAGATTGTAAATCTTTTTAATCAGAAAATTTAGAATCAAAGAGAATAAGAGGCAAAAAGCACAATACCATCGAAGTGAACACTGAAATTCTGGTCTTGGGTCAGACGAATAGAATGTGTTGCCATGCTTTACAACTGGTCTGATTCCCTGAAGTCTGTACAATGCACACAAGGCCAACAACAGAATTCAGACATTGACGAAGGCTTAAAATTTAGGCACATTGCAATTAGCAACTAGAATAGAGGATCTTCTCGACCAAATCAAATAGTGTGTTCAATATGAAGTTGAACAAAAAACAATCAATTACAAAGAAATTAGATAAATTATCAAATAATTTCGTTTCTATATTACCAGCATCGCGAAATCATTTAGGGGAATCAGTAAACAAGCTAGAAGATCTGGATTGAATATGAAATCACACAGAACAAATGCGATTTCAAATTCCTTGAAAAGCCTGACAACAAAGGGCTTTGTTTTGGCTAACATTTGCAAACACACATCTGTGATTATAGTTCTAGGTTAAATATCCAAGAAATGTAACTTCCGTTTCCAATATCTCTACTGTAAAGGTCAATCGATGTTTCAACGCTATAAACCGCAATCACAGACCGGAATTGGAGGCTTTATTCGTTGAAAAATAGAATCTAAAGCCATTAAAGGGAATATAAACAAGCAATCGATTTCTATATTTCAAATTGTAAACATATAAACAGATAAAATTAGGATTTCATGGAAGAAAAATACTCACAAACAAAGTGTACAGATTAAGTAATCGAGAGCGACGATTCAAATATGAACCAGATAAAATTAGGGTTTCATGGAAGAAGAATACTCACAAACAACAAACAAGTGTACCGATTGAGCGATGGAGAGCGACGATTGTATATTAACAGATCAAAAAAATTAGGGTTTCTTGGAATACGAATTACTCACGAACAAGTTTACTGATTGGGTGTTGTAGTATCCTTCGATTTGAACTGGAAGCGCTTTTTGTTTTAACAATTACATGAAACCCTTCAGCATTTAACGGGTCCCTTCCAACGGTCATATTGCTTTCCTTATTTACGCTTTTGCCCCTCCATTTCAATTTTTTTTACAGTTTTGCATTTACGTGCATCATCGTAATCAAAAAACGAGGGAAGTGTGATGAAATTTATATTTACCAAACAAATTAATGATTTAAATCTCATCCACCGCAAATTGTATAAAAATATAGGGTTGTTTGACGGTTGTTGAATGGTTTAGTGCAAAATAATTAAGTGAGATTAAGAGTTTATCATGATATAATGCAAAATAAAATATAATTGTTTACAATGAATTAAGATGCTAAATGATTAAGAAAGATCTATGATACAAAATCATTCATAGAGTTTTAGAATTATTAATAGCCAGACTTTTTTTTTTACCAAACAAGATTTACCTCTTAACGATTCAAAGACTGCCTCTTAATGAAGCTATTAAAAGGTAAACAAACAACCCCGTAATCTACTTTGATATGATTTTTATTTTGGATAATGTAGTTTTGAAACCTTTTTTTTTATATCTGAGACAAGATATCTCAAACATTTAAATACCTATTTTCTTAAATTAAGGGGTAATTTTGTCTTTTTATTAGTTAAAAAATATATTATAATATATTATTATTAAACTTTTCTTATACAAACGTTCAAAGCACTAGTACAAGTATTAAAACATCAAAATATGTATGTAGATATTTGTACCAGTGCTTTGAACATTTGTACAAGAAAAGTTTAGTATTAATATGATATTAAAAATAATAAAAATACCCCTTAATTTAAAGAAATATGTACTTAGATGTCTTTTTTGATTGCGAATTCGCCTCTCAATGTTGGCAACGTATTGGGCTCGTCTATGACATGCGGATGGTCAAGGATGCTACGTGGCTTCTTGAAAAACTGAACTCCCAACCAAGCGAGGTCCTCATCAAAATCGTCACGGTTTTGTGGGGCATATGGTTTTTTAGAAAAAAAAAGTTTGGGAAAACAAAACCATTGCGGTTGCTGCGGCTATGGATCGGAGTAGTAATATAGTCACTCAAAGGCAGAATGCAAGAGCGAAGTTGGTCGGCAATAATGCGGGAACCAACCTGAATGGTAGAGTTGAAAACCAAAGGTGGACGGCCCCTCCTCTTGGTCATTTGAAGTCGAATGTTGATGCATCGGTTATGCATGGTGCATTTTCTTTCTCGATGGTAATGCTCGTTCGAGATAGTAGGGGAGGCTTTATCCAAGGAAAAACTATTCGGTTCAGAGGGACGGTTTTTGTCTTCGAAGATGAAGCTATAGGCGTAAACGAAGCTCTCTCTTGGATTCACTGGCTACACCTCCAACAAGTCACTACTGAGACCAACTGTATTCTCACGGTAAAGGCGCTTGAAGGGATTTACCACAATCATTTGGAAGTTGGGAATTGTATTGAAAGTTGTCGCTTGAAGCTCCAAGATCGTGATGATATTTCTATTAAGTATGTTCGAAAGCATATGCTAACGAGGCTGCCTATTTGATGGCTAAAATCCCTTGTCTAGTTAATTTCTACAATGTTATTATCTCTCCTCTCGTTTATATGTTGGAGACTTTGGTGTATGACTCCGCTAACCGAGTAGTTATCACCTTTACGTTTCCGGTAAGACTCTCGATCATTGTCATTCTCTTATCGAGTAAGATTTTTGGTCCTTATCATGTTCATCTGATAAGATAATATGGCTTGGTAAGCTACAATTTTTGTCATTATGGGCGAAATTAGAAATTGTGGTTTTCATCCCTATGGTTTGTTAAAAATTCTGATTTTCGTCCCTATAGTTTAGAAATTATGATTTTTGCAATTTATTGTTGTTTTCGTCCTTAGACCAAATTTCTACATTTAAGTATAAGGGACTAAAACAATAAAAATTGTAAAACATAAGGACTAATACAACAATAAATAAATCACAAGAACGAAAATAACAATAAATTACAAACCGTCGGAACGAACGTAATTAATGTTAGACTATAAGGATGGAAATTGTAATTTTTTTAACAAATCATAAGGATGAAAAACGTAATTTACTCTTTAAAAATTAACCATCACATAATTAAATTTCTATTCTATTAGCATAACAAACTTAATAACCGAAATTAGAATATCATAATCCAAGATTTTTATTGGATTCTTATATTTTCCAAGTTTGTTTCGTTTTGATGCAATTATTCCATATAAGATTGTTGAGATTGCTGATAATTAACTTTTTATCGAGTAAAACACTGTGTTTTTGTACATGGTGTTGAAATTTGCCATAATTTGTCATTTTGGTTGTTTATCAAAATACTACGGAGGTTCAAATGCGGTGACTCCAGACTATCTGTAAAACAGGTGATCGTCCTGAGATTTGTTGGCTCACACAGCATGGTTAGATATTCATGTTAATAAAAAAAATATAATATTTTTAACACATGATACAAAAGTTTTAACCGGTATTTCCCACGTGCGCATTGGAAGCTTTGGACTCGGTTGGTCAAACAGAGAGTATAACAAACTTTTGTATTTATTAACCATTTACACACGCAAAACGCACACATCAGTTACCATGGATGCGACGCCGCTATTGCTTAATAAATTTGCTGGTAAGCTCCATCTACTTGCAGACAACGGCGATTACCTGCCGGCGAAAGGCTTCCGTCAATGGAAGTCGGTGTTTTGGCTTGAGACATTGAATTTATGGATGATCGGATTTCCGATAACCATAACGATGATATGTCAGTTCGGAATTAGCTCTGTAACTGACATCTTCGTTGGTCATCTCGGAGTCATTGAGCTGTCCGCCATCACAATTGCTACCTCCGTCGTTGGCACCTTCTCCTTTGGTTTTCTGGTCAGTATATTTAGATCTCTGGTCTCTCTGATTGAAATTATTAACCGGTAGTTGATACACTCGATCAGTGTTTCTGGTAAAGAGCTAGTTAACCCGAATATTTGGAATTAGGCAAAAGTATTGCTTTGAAAATCGCTCCAAACAAACCGCAACGCAAGGTTTGCATGATACCAGATCTGAGGATCGTTAAATAAGCATGAATCAATGATTTTCAAACTCAGGGACTAAAATGGTGAAAATTGGCTCAACATATAAAAATTTAATTCAAAATTCTGATCTTCAAGCAATGTTAGAAAGTTTTTAGATAAGGATCGATTATCAAATGTTTGCCCGTGTCACTCACCTTACCAGGACGGACCTATGAAGTCCCCAGCGGGAAACATGCACCCGTCCAACCGATTTTCACAGAAAAATCCCTGGCGGAATTCGGGTAAATAGATATAGACTTTGCATGGTGCACTCGCTCAACAAAAAATCATAGGTTGGTGTTGTTACAGTGTGACCACTTTACCAGATAAAAAACATAGCAAGTATCAAAAATCTTACTCGAAAAGAGCTTACTAGGTAAAATACGTTAACAATAATCAATTTTGATGTCCGAAAATCTTACTGGTCAGATAAATAAGAATGATAACTCTCGCCTGTTAATGCCCCAAATTTTTTGTTTTTCTGGTTTGAGTAGAAAAGCATAACTTAATAGCCAACGTCTGTTTAATATGTGATGCGACCATATACATGTGCAGTTGGGTATGGGAAGTGCACTCGAGACGCTATGCGGTCAAGCTTTTGGTGCGGGCCAAGTTCACTTGCTCGGTGTTTATATGCAACGCTCATGGATCATATTATTCGTTTCCTGCATCGTCATCATCCCGATATATATCTTCGCCACTCCCATCCTCAAGCTCCTCGGTCAGGATGACGACATCGCTAATCTGGCCGGAGTTTTCTGCATCCAAACCATCCCACAGTTGTTTTCACTTGCCTTCAACTTCCCAATCCAAAAGTTCCTTCAAGCCCAAAGCAAAGTGAATGCAGTTGCTTGGATCGGGTTTCTGGCACTAGTCGCACACACCATTCTCATATGGCTCTTTGTGTGCATATATGGATGGGGCACAACGGGTGCAGCCTGGGCGTTGAATCTTTCGAGTTGGGGTAATGTTGTGGGTCAGTTTGTTTACATTGTTTACTGGTGTAAAGACGGGTGGAATGGGTTCTCATCGGAGGCGTTCACAGACATTTGGGTGTTTGTTAAGCTCTCGATCTCATCGGCTGTGATGTTGTGTTTGGAGATATGGTATATGATGAGTATCATCATTCTAACCGGCCATCTTAATAATGCAGCGACCGCCGTTGGGTCTCTCTCGATCTGGTGAGTTAAAAGGCTCTCTTCGTATTGTTTCCGTACGTAATTACCATCTTTTGTTGTCTAAGCTCACTGATTGTCTTTCAGCATGAATGTTAATGGATGGGAAGCTATGGTGTTCTTCGGAATCAATGCTGCGATGAGGTATACAAATTGCATGATTTAAAACCGCCAACAAAATCGGTTTTATATGATGCAAAATATGTTCTAAAAATTCTAATATACTGTTTTATAGGACTTAAATTTATATGTTGAAACAACTGTGTTCTATGTAAAATATTACAATAAATTAATAGCAGCATCCTAACAATATTTTATAACACAAGGAGATTTTTATTCCTCCTTGTATTTGGATATCCACCTGCTTTGCAGATTGACCGGAGTCACCGCATTTGAACTTCCGTGGCCACAAGGGGATTTTTATTCCTCCTTGTATTTGAACCAGAGACCTCCTGATACTTTTGAAATAAATGACCTATTAGCTTTTTTGCAAGACCTTTTTAGACAATTTGTTAATTAGTGTCATTAAAAACCAATATAACTCTTTATTTTAAAGGTGTCCTAAACTTGTTGGGATGTTAAAAAACGTTCTGTTAACTTACTGTAACATTTTTACATGAGACATACTCTTTGTCTTATAAAGCAGTCTATATGAAAATTTATACATATTTGGGATCCTATAAAACGGATTTTGTTGTAGTATATGATCTGTACTGCTCTCTCTTTGAGTATTTTTATGTTGGTGTTCAGTGTTCGGGTATCAAATGAGATCGGGATGGGGCATCCAAGAGCGATCAAATACTCTGTGTATGTCATAATTTTCCAGTCTTTCATGATCGGGCTTCTGTGCATGGTGATTGTGGTGATGACAAAAGACGATTTCAGCATTATTTTCACCAACAATGCAGCGTTGATAAAAGAAGTTTCTAGCCTTGCATACCTTCTTGGCGTGACGATGATTCTTAATAGCATTCAACCAGTAATTTCAGGTATTCAATTGCATTCGGATATGATCTTTGGTTTTGTTCAATAATCTTTTTTGAAGTATATGATGCTCATATAATGCAAATTAAACTCGCACACAGTTATCATCTTTAGTGTGACTTGAACCCTGACCTAGTACCCTACCGCTGTGCCAATGTCCCCTTTGTAAGATTGTTGTATGATTGCTTGAAGTTATCTGCGATGATGTTGTTGCAGGTGTGGCGGTAGGAGGGGGATGGCAAGGTCTCGTTGCTTATATAAATTTGGGGTGTTACTACGCATTTGGAATTCCTCTAGGCATTTTTCTCGGTTACACGTTCAACTTGGGCGTGCAGGTAATACTTGGAAACACAAAGATTCATTAGACATTTGATTTGTCGGATAAATTCTGTTAAAACAACAATATTGTTGGTATCTCACATCAGTTAATTAAGATCAGATCAATCATCTATCTTTTTGAGGCTTTTTTTAAGAGTAATCTGATTGACCAGACATACTGTAATGGGATAAACTTTTATTACAGGGATTGTGGGGAGGCATGATTTGTGGGACTGCCCTTCAAACATTGCTCCTCCTGCTTGTGCTTTATAGAACTGACTGGACCAAAGAGGTTGGTAAATTCTTCTGAACTCTTTTTATCTCTGATCAAAAGTGTTAAATATAGTATCGGTGTTAAATTTTGACGTTCAAATTTATATTATTGATCAAAATAACGTTAATTGTTTCTAAACGATTAAAGTTAAATTACAATTCTTTTATATATTTGACATATATTTATTAGTTGATTATTAAACTATAATATTTGTTTGAATATTAATTAGTTTGAGTAAACTTGTTAAGTGTGTATATATGACTATAATAAAAAAAATTATATAAATTAGTTTTTGTAAATGAACTAAATTATACTTTTATATTTTATTATATCAACACACCTGATTTAGTACTTTTTAGTTTTACAACTTTTTAAATTATTAAATTTTGAACCATTTTAAAAGAAAAACATAAATTAAAATTAAATTTTATTAGAGTTAGAATGAGGTTTATCAAACTGTGTTAGAATTAGAGATGGTCAAATGGGTCCGGCCTAACTTGGGACTAGCCCGCTTAAGATTGTTTGGGGCCAACGATTCTGAACTGGTTACATTTTTTTGTCAAAACAGAAGGCTAGGCTCATCCCGGGGACGATTTGGGAACGGTTATGGGTCTGGACCGGAACTGGCCTCTATTTTTCAAAAATATTATAGTTTTATTGTCGATACTCAATAGCCATATGACCATTTCTTTCCCACCACTCCCTTTGGCAGCATCCACTTATTCGGAGCTTAATTTGAAAGCCATATTTCCACCCGGACGTTTTCGGGATGCCGCTAATAACCATTTTGACCCCTTTTTTTTGTCTCATTTACCTTCTATTCACTATATATAAGTCATATGGTGTATGGGAGAAGATACCAACTCACAACCATTCACAATTCTTATTATAATTCATGATTTCGGCTCATATTCTTGTAAAAAACATAATCTTTAAGTGTATTTAATTGACCCAATTGCATATTTTCAAGTGTATTAGAATAACACTTTTGTATTCTTAAAAAAAAACTTCAAAAAAAAAAAAAGATTATGCAAAAAATCAATTTAAAAATATACAAAGAACCGATTTGGGCCCGGCTTGGGATCGAGACCAGAACCGGTCCTTATAACTGGTTACAAAGTACCTTAACCAGACCTCGGGTTTTCGGTTGGGTCCAAGACCGATTACGAGAAAAGTATTCGGGATTGGGACTGGGACCGATTTTTGGCCATGTCTAGCGTATTGGTAGTAGATGAGCTTAGATCTCAAAGCTCATTTCCTACTTCTGTTTCCGTGTTAGATGCTTGTTTCTACTGAAAAATGGGCATACAATATCGAGTCTTAACGTAGTTACTTTGAAAATTATTGCATGCAGGTGGAGCAGTCGATAGAGCGACTCCAAATATGGGGAGGACAAAAGGTGGAGAAAGGAACCGATATATAACAACGGTTAGCTCGATGTAGTCGTAAATAGTAGATGTTAGTTTAAGGATCGTCATAAGTTTGTTTATCGAAGGTTCATTTACGATGAATGAAGCTTAATTTAGCGTCACAAAACTGTTACTAAAAATATGTTGCAGATGACCAATATGGCATAAACCGAAAGTCCAAGGACAGACCTAGAATTTTTTTCAAACAGTGACACCATTTGACTATAAGAAAAAAAACTATAGCGAAAAAATTTCAAACAGTGACACCGGTTGACTATAAGAAACAAATATATGTAATTTTTTTCAATCGGTGGCACTATTTGACTAAGAAAATGACACTAACAAGATTTGAATTTGGGTCTGGAGTGGAATAAAAGTCTTGCAAATCAATTCTACCAAATAAAACTTGTGCTCATTGTAGTTTTAAAATACATATGCTGCCACACAACAGATTAATACAGTTGCACCTTTCACGAACCTAATTTTTATTTTTACCCTTCGACGGAGAAATAATACGATGGCACGTGCCACCGTAACCACCATGATAGGTCCGCCCATGCAAAAGTCAACATGACATGTAATCATTTGCATACCCGATTAATTATCAAAACTTACAAACGGCTTTTCATATTGTGTGGAGCATTGTGTCAACCATATCATTCAATAAAATTCACAAAAGGTCTATGCGCCAAAATTAATTATGAGTGCTTAAATTTTAAAAGGTACTAAAGTTTGAAGTCTTATTTTACTTTTTGATTGACAAGAGATGGTGCTAAAGTCTGAAAGCAAAATCATTAATATTGTTTGTTTTTGTAAACTGATAAACGTCTAAATATTTGTAATTGTATATTTCACCCCTCATAATATTATATTATCAAAATATACTATCGTCCATTGTTAACATATTCAAATACAACTAACATACATCAATTAACCCAATCACATTAGAATATATATAATACTAGGTTTGATCTCGTGTATTACACGGAGTAATTTGAAAAAAATTAAATCATGTCAGGAACTTATCTTACGGATATGAATGATCATCGAAAGTACGATGTTATTTCAGACTTGTACTCTTGAAATAACTCTGAAATACAGCTCTGAAGAATGACTATGAAAAATGACTCTTTAGACTTGAATTTAGAAATAAAACTATATCAATAATTAGTTAAAATGAAGTTAGCCCTAGAATAATATTAAATGTGCTATTTTGAACAAATATAGACATTTTTGGGAAAAAAAAAAAAAACTTTTATAGCCGGCATGTTAACCAACAAAATTCGTCTTACAGAACACTTTGACAACATCAGCAAGTGATAGCTGAAAGCTGTCACGATAAGCTGAAAACACAAGTTGAAGGTTGTCACAATAATCTGTCAGATTAGCAGGCTGTCAGTGATAAGCTGTCAGCGATAAGCTAAAAACTGTCACGATAAGCTGAAACACAAGCTGAAGGTTGTCAGCAATAAGCTAAACGAAATTAGTCTAAATAAAATCTCGTTTAGTAGGAAAATCAGTTAAATCATGATATATAAAAAAAAGATACATTTTTAGAGGGACATATGTCAACCAAATAGGTCTTTTTAAAACCACTAATGTAAATTGTGTCTAGATACATGTTTAGGCGGGAAAATAAGATAACCGACTCACCAGAAGATAACACGTGTCATCCAAGTTACTTATTTATTAAGTGTATATAGGTATGAAGAAAGTTTCATAAAAACTAAAATCAATCTTTATTTTGCATTAATTATGTTGTACTTTCTTCTCCTAAATAAATCATATATGTTTGGTTAGCGGTTCTTCCATGTGATTGAACCTCATCGTTGCGACAACGACCTTTATTTGGTTAGCAAAATAAGGGCGAAACCCACCAACCAACTACAAATTACAATTCCAAACGTTATTGCGTTGTAAATCAAAATGCCATCATAGAAAACAAAGTCTAAAACCACAAAATACATGTTTTTGAAACGTCACAAATTTTCAATATATTTGTTTTGATGGGAATTTCTCTAAGTAAAATTATTTTATCGAAAAAAATATGACAAAGACCAAAAAATTTACCCGATAAGAACAAAACAAAGACCAAAAGTGTTACCAAGTGAGGTCAATGGCTTTTGACACAATTAGCACTTAGGGTGCGTTTGGTACGCTGGACAGGGTGGGACATGACAGAACAGAACACATTTGTCCTGCGTTTGGTGTGGCTAAATGTGGAACTAAGTGGAACTAAGTTGGACAAGCATGGGACACGCGTGTTCCACCGTTACCCCTGGAACTAAGTGGAACACAAAACCTTTTCCCTCATTACCCCTTCTTCCCCTACCCGACTCATCACCTCGCTTCCGGTTCCATCCCCCTTGTCATCCGCCTCCATCGCTTCCTTAATCAACTCCATCAACGGTACCTCTCGACTGTGTTCGCTTCCTTCATCGACGGTGCCTCTCGACTCCATCGCTTCCTTCATCCTCTAGACTGTGTTCGCTGTTTTGTTGATTTCATCGACGGTACCTCTCGACTCCTTTCACGCACTCACTGGCTTCACCTCTGCCACCTCCATCGCCGCTGAACAACCGCCACTTAAACACCTCCATTTTCTCTTCGATTGCTATTTGGGTCTCCTGTCCGGTCACACATTTCTGGGTTTTCCCCCTTTTTCGTTCACTTGCTCTTGAGTTTCGACATTGTTTATTCGAAACGGATCTGCAACACACTCAATCTTCACACAAGCTCTTCAATCAGGTTTGATATGTTCAAATTTCATGATCTAGTTTGAGTTTTTTTGATTCGTTGAAGGATGGGTTTTGATTTGGATCTTGATTGTTTG